TAAAATATAAACAATAACATATTAAAATTTTAAATAAAGTTATTATATATATTTTTATATAATAATAAATTTAAGATATGCGATATTTTTGTCCATGTAGTGTATATCTTATTATATATAAAAAAAATTAAAAAATAATATTTATTTATATAAATAAAATAAAATAAAAAAAGACAAAAAAGAATTTTATAATTTAAATTAAAAAATATATATATATATTTTATAATTATATATAATATATATTTTTTTATTAATTATATATATTCTATTAATATTATATAGCAAATTAAATTTATAAATTATTATGTTAATTTTTTTAATATAATAATAATCCTTGCTTATAATAAAATACATATTTAGAAACTAATAATATAATAGTATATCTTTTTTTATATTTATATATTATTAATAAATTAAAAAAAGTAAAAAATAACTTATTTAATTTTTAATAAAGTTGAAACAATAAAATTATTATATCTATTTTTTTTTTAATTATATCTTTTAATCTTACTTTTAACAACCTGCAAGTCTCCTAGAAAAAATTTAAGAAAACAAAGAGATAATATTAACAAAGCTCTTAAAATATCATATAAGATTTAAAAAGAGTAATTAATTATTACTACATTTTTATTTTAAGAATAAAATGAAAAAAAACCAAAGTTACAAAACCAAAACAAAATAACAATTTTATATTAAAATATTTTTGTGTTTATAATTTTTTTATTGTTTTTAATAAATATAAGTTTATATAATTACATTTAAATAAATTTACTTAAATATAACAAAATAATAATAATAATAATAATTTACTTAAACATATAACTGATATAAAAATATTGGTATATATAAAATCATTAAAATACTGTATATGGTATAATAATTTAATATATCAATCAAAATCAAGACATTATACAGTATATCTTTTTACCAAAAAAAAAAAAAACGTTTGCCTCATATTTTTATTTAAATACGTATTTAATAAATATTGTAACTAATTGTTTGTTTTATACTTTGTATTCTTAAATATGACAAAACAATTAATTATAAGAATAATATATAAAATTTTATGCATTATTTTTTAAAATTTAATATAATAAAAAATAGACATATTTAAAATTTCTTTAAAGCTGTTGTATATTATCGTTATAAATACTGATATTTTAATTTAGATATTCTGATTTGAGTAATTATAGTATATATTTACTGTAATTCGACGATCAATGTGAATCGATAAAAAAACTGATTCTTTTGATTTATGAATAACTTTTCTTCTATAATTATTGGTCTTCGTAGACCTAAGATTAACCAAACGCCGGTGCTTTTGACTTTTAAGATCAAACATTTACTGTTTGATTATCAAAAAGGTATAAATTGAGAGTGAGCTAAAGGATGTAGTTTTCGTAAGGCTTGGAATTCAATTTTATATCTAATGCATTTGAATAGAAGTTAACTCAGTACAACAAAGATGGGCTACAAAAAAATCCGGAGGTTCTACCAATAACAATCGAGACTCTCCTGGTAAAAGGCTGGGCGTAAAAAAGTTCGGAGGTGACTTATCCACGTATCATTTCAATAATTTTGAATAAATATTTTATAGATCTTGTATTATGGCAGGCGAATACGTTGTTCCGGGAAATATCCTTGTTCGACAAAGAGGCACGAAATTTCATCCGGGCGAAAACGTAAGTATAATTAATTGAAATTCACGCTCATTCTAAAAATCCAAATTTCCAAATTCTTTGATAATTTATGAGAAAAGGTATACGTTGGAAGAGATTGGACCTTACACGCAGCAGTGCCAGGATATGTTCAGTTTTACAACGACCCCGTCCGTAAAAAAAGGAGATGCATTGGAGTAGTGTTACACAAGGATGATAAATTACCTTATCCCCGAACCGAACCTAGGAAGCGTTTCTTTGATTCGATTGACCTTGTTGAATACGAGGATCAGAAAAAGAGAAATAAAGAAAGGTTATTGGCTAAAAAAGAATCAGAACGTTCTCAAGGTTTGTTGTTACATTTATTGTCATTATTAACCAATTATTCGTCATCAGGAATAACTGCGATTGAGTTCAATACTCACAGTTTTTTATTTTGTTTAATGGATAATAGTTCAAAAGTACAATAGATTGTTATGATAATTGAGCGAAAATATTTGTCTAAAGACGAAAGTCAAAAGTTCGTTTTACGTGACAATAAAACAATATGTGAAATGTTACGGATGATTTTACTAGAACACCTTTTAGTGGTACTGATGACTCCTGATTTATACATTTCTCTGGTACTGTACTAGAATAAGAAAGAATAAAATTTTGGTATTATAAAACACAAATATTACTTGTTTTATTTGACTGGGTTAAAGAAAATTTGATCTATAATATAAATATAAAGTAACAAATACATAAAAATATTTTGATTTAAAAAAACACTAGTTACAATAAAAAAAAAAATTATGAATTATTTTTATCAAACAAGTTAAGAAATTAAAATTTTTTTAATTTATAAGTTAAATTAAAAAACAAAATTGATTTTATAACAAAAAAAAAAAAATTAAAAATTAATTTAATTAATTGATAGAAAAATGCCAAGTATATTATTTTTTTTAAATAATATATACATATAATGCAATAATGCAATTGGTTAATCTTAGGATCCAAAAAATCCTTTAAAAATAATTAATTTATATTATTTAATTATAAATAATTTTTATTAAAATAAAAATATATTAAAATTTTATTATAAAATACAAATATTTATTAAATAAATGTAAAAATCAATATTTTTTTATTTACAATTTGTTATATTTATATTTATATGGTTTTCAATATATTTATTACTATTTTCTATCATTACATCTTTTTTTTTTAAATTAATTTTTTAATAAAGTTTCTTATATAAGTAAGATTTTGCTTAAATTAATCAATAATCAAAACATTATATTTTTTTGTAAACTGTTATTATCTTAATTTAATGTAATAGCTTTTTTGAGCAAAATCATTATCTTATACAATCTATTTTTTAATCAATAATTTAAATATATAAAAATTTAAATATTAAATAGAAAAATCATTTGTTGTTTTAATAATAATGTATTCTATTTTTCCATGTAAAAAACTGCTTTTATAAAGTTACCTTGCTGATAGTTACGTATATAATAAATTGTTTGTTTGTATCAAATTCCTGAAAATAGCATGTAATTATTGTATAATTTTATTGATATGAGCAAATAAAAGTTTATTATTAATGAATATAATATGATGACTTTTAATAAAATAAATTTTAATAAAAGATGCAATATAATTTAAAACTTAATAGAATGTCATTTGACTTTATTTACAATAAGTTCAATTACACGATTAATTTGGACAAACGTTTATATTCTTTTAATAATAACGTATTTTTTTAATTTCAGGTTATCTACTGTATTTCCATTTCAGCATTATTATTATTTTATTTTTCGGGTCAAAAATTGATCATTTGTCTATTTGGACGGACGATTTTTACAAGTATCAATGATCATGCATATGCATTTTTTTAAAAAACTAGTTTTTTCGAATTCATTATATTCTTTATTAGTAATAAATTAATATCTATTTTAACCAGACCAATTATTATATGTATTCATTATATAATTTCCCAGTGCCATTATTAATGACTAAGACCTCAACATTTTTGTCCCCTTCTTTCGTCGTATTATTATCTCCCAGTTTTGACAATTTATTTACTCCGTTGTTAAGGTCATCCCTTTCGCCGACACCATTAGTATTAACTTTATTTAGAGTGACTTCATCCTTGAAGATACTCAATTGTTCAAAATTAATACTTAAATTTTTGTTAATCGTTTCAACCTTTGGCAATGATACAAAGTGATTTCTATCAATTGTATAATTGGTGTCTTCGTTCCTCTTTCTTGTAGCCTTTCCATTTTTATCATTATTAATGTTACTCTCGTAAGTGGTTGAGGTTTGTGATGGTTTTTGACTATGATTCTCTGAAGATTTTCGTGAAGTCGTCGATGAAGATGTTGGAGACGGTAATAAATCGTCGGCATCTCTAAGTCTCGTGGGAGGTGGCGGTACGAAAATAACATTATTTCCATTCAAGGATGAGATGGAAGTAGAGGATGCATTCGTGGCATTTCTTATTCGAAATGAGGCGGGAGGAGTTAGTGCGTGTCTCGGAAGTGGCGGATAGTTAAATTTAGGCAATCCATTTATAGTTTGATCCAAGGATTTTGTTCTTTTAACGCTCTTTACGCGCATACTATCATTAATGTCTGCTTTTGTAAGAGACGTCGATCTACTGTGTGGAAGTTGTGCTTCCGTCGGAATTGGAGGTAAGGCCGTTGTGGGTGGAAGTTTCATGTTACTGAATAGCGAAATATTTGAAGGCTCTTCCTGTGGGCCATCGTCAATTTCGATATCCTCTTTAAAATGATCAGTTATATTGATTGTGCCTGGTGACCTTTTTTCATCAGTTTTATGCATCACTATTTTTGAGCCAACACTCGTATTCCGAAGCGATCTATTCATCATAAATTTTTGTATCCTTCTTCGACGATATAGACATGCGAGGATACAACCAATTATTGTGACGCCAACAATTAACCCAATTATGAGGAAGACACTTTCATCATCATAAGTTGCTTGACTGTTGTTATCTATAGATGTGGTCCCCGTGAACGTTGGTATTGATGCGATGGTGGCTGCAACGATAGAACTTGTCGAAGACGTTGGATTTGCTATCTCTAATTCTTTTATTTTCTTGTTTTTAATTATAGGCATTGTCGTGCGCGTCTTACCCTTTTTTACTTTTGGGTGTGAGACGTGCTTATTGCCTAAAGATTTTTTTCGCAAAGTGTCCACACTTAATCGTTTTCGTGATTTATCCATTGTATTATTAAACGAATGAAATTTTATGATCAAAGTATACTTTCTTTGAGGCACGCACAAAACAAAACTGGGAGATTTGGGAGAACACGAAGTTAATCGTGGGGAATGTACCGAGAGACAACGAAATTAATCTGGGAAATGTTGAGACAGGAAATTAATCTGGGGAGTTGCAGCATCAGAAATGAATGCGTGGAGAAAGAAATTTATAAGCGATTTCTCACACTCACTTTTCTCGATTAGTTTAGTTGAAGATCTTTCGGGGTAATTGCCTTTTTCCTAGCTCCAATCTAAAAAGCTAATTGATTATGCATCTTTAATATACCTAAAAGTGGTATATACATGCTCATGATCAATTCATTTATCTTAAAGAAAGTCAGGTGTTAATAATGTGCATCGATAAACATATTAAACGTACATCTTTTTTTAACCAAAAATTTGAATCTTGTTTGAACATCCAATTGCGAGCACAAAACCATCAACCACATGTTTCATACACGGTTACAGACGATCTGTGTCGGTCATTTCTTACCAATATTTGCTTAACTTCGTATTTCTAATTTTTACTATTTCATGTTTAAGGATCGTAAGCTTTATCAAATTCGAACTTTCCGAAATTCCAATAAGTACTATTTATAAGAGTTGCTATGCCCCATCCTGTCGGGATTCTTAGCTTCTCACAATCGGAACTAGAAGGTAATAATAATATTTCACTCGTTAGAAAAAAAAAAAAGAAAATTTATGCCGCCATCGGAGATCGCAACAACTTTATTGGCCTTGTTATTAAGCGCAACAAATTACTTCCTATTACATTGAAGTTTTAAGTTGACTTTCATTCAAAGAGAAACTAGCGGAAATAATTGAACACGTAAGCTCAAAGGATCGCGATACTAATCGTGCAGGTACTTACGGTACTTGCATATAGCTTTAAATTGTGAAAAGATAAACAATAACGAGTTACTGCATATTGACAAAATAAGTCATCCGACGAAGTTTGCTCACTATTTTTTTTTTTTTAAAAAAAAAAATAAAAATCTACATTTAACTCATTATTAGTAAATATTGTATCGTGTTCACTAAGATCAAGATATACCGTACGTGCAGCGGAAATTGTCCGATCTCATTAAATTTAATTAATTATTTATGTACTTTATTTAATAGTTTAGTATATTAAATCAAATCAACTTAACTTAATCTTAACATCACACTTTGTTCCAAAAACCACATTTTTCTTTTATAATCAATAATAATAAATTGATTAAAATACGACGTATTTTTGAAAATTATTGGATTTCTCTATTTCGATCTTAATTCCATAAGCAATTATGGTATTTCAAAGCATACGCGATTCGATCACAATGACAATTTATTGATTTTTATTACAAAAAATTACAAATTTTATTGAAATAAATATATTAAGAAATAATTAATAAAATTCAAATTTTACTAAGTACGTATATGCTGTACTCATTTGGCTGTCTCTTGCTCACACCAAAGCTCCGTTAGCGGGTTATAATTTTCTATCTTTTTGATTATACAATCTATATTGAATTTGGAATCATGATTAAAAAAATTCTTTATATTTCAAATATTTCAAATTAAGATTAAATTATTTCATTCACTATATACGATAACTTAATAACATAATAAACCGCCAACTCAATTGTCATGTTAAATTCTAATAAAAAACAAACGATCAATTTTTTATTTTAATAAATCACTGTATACAGTATATTGTATATTTATGTTCGCAATATAGATATTCGGATTTTTTTTTTTAAAAAATGGTTAAATATATAATATCGTTATTGTTTATATAATGAAATAATCTTAATAAATGACAATAACAATAATAATTTTTTTTTTTTTTAGTAAATAGAAAAATTAAAAATTTCAAATGAAATTGTTATTATAATTTAGTGATGTATTTAATGATGTATTTAAAAAAAAATTTTTTTATATATATTTTATTTTTATATTGCTAAACATACAGATTTTTATTTATTTATTTGTTTTAATTAATTAATTAATTGTTTATTATTTATTGAATTGTTAATAAAAATCAAAATTTTTATACAACAAGAAACTTTGATTGAGAAAATTATAAAGAACAAATAAAAGATTCAATCAATGACTGTTCATGCAATGCTAATTTGATCGCATTTCGGTTTACGGATCATAAGTCGAGGGAATTCAAACATGTGGGAATTGTGGATTCGTAAAAATGAACTCGGTGGATCAAAAAACGTTTAAATGTGATTCGTGCGAGGTAGAGATGAATCGGGACGTGAATGGTGCCAGAAATATCTTGCTCAAATATTTAACGGAGGGTCAGATTTAGAGTGACTTTGGATATGCATAGTAAAGATAATATTTTAAATTCTATTATAACATTAAAATGTTCGCGAAAATTCCACTCTGCACAAGAGTATTGCCTGCCCTCGGGTATTGGTTTATGCAAATGAAGCTTTATTTTAACTACTGTATATGCAAAGTTATTTATTCAATCTAGAATAGACAAAACATTTTATTTTTTATTAATATATTTATCATAATAAATATTTACAAATATTTTATTCTCGTCAGCAGTAACATCTTAAACTCGACATAACTTTAATAATTTATTTGACAAACGATGACAAAAATAATAAAATAAATATTCATGGAAATAAAAAAAGTACTTTATTATAAAAAAATATAAAAAATTACTTTATCGATAAAAAAAATTTTTTTTTCTTCGAACAAATGTAGGATTTGACAAAAGATTATAATTATACCTTTGATTTCGCACACCTTATCCCAATTTAATTTCCCTTTCCTCTCTCAAAAAAAAAAAACCTCCCCGAAAAAAAAATCGATTAAAAAAAAAAATAATAAGTCAAACGAAAATTGCTCGACTTTTTCGCAATGTATAGACAGAAGTTATCAAAGAGATGTATCCAACTTGGTGGTGATAGGTTGTTTAGCTGATCCGTGAATCTACAGGCCGCGATGCTGGTTCTTTTTGAGGTGGAATGACATCTTCTCTAGTCACGACAAAACTTGCATAACATCGCTATACATCATTGGCCCTATTAATGTCGTCTCAAAAGAGAACTAACCGACTCCCTTGCAGAATCAGTAGACATCACGGGGCTCGACGAAATAAATAAAAGAGGAAGTAATAAGTCGAGTTAAATAAAAAAAGTCGAAAAAAAAAAATAAATAAATTCGTAACGTTCGACTTTTTCGCAACGCACAGACAAGGTACCAAGGTTGTATGTCGACTAAACTGATAGTCACGACGACCCGGAAATACAAAGCTATCACGTCGCTCGCCCATATGCCATGGACTCGACGAACTAAAAAAGCGTGGTATAAAGAAAGGGGGGTTTTTTTTTTCACACGAACATTTAAAAAAGGAAGGGTCTAAAATCTAAATCTAAAAGGAGGACGAACAAGGTCCTTAGGTAAAGATTTCTTTAACCATAGAGAGGAAAGGTATATAGGTTTAATTTTTTAGATGCGTTAAAACCACCCATTTTATATGAGATAAGCACGTTAACTTGTGGGAAGATTTTCACCTGCTGCGTAATACGCGTAATATCTTGCGTGCATCTAGATTTCGTAATATTATAAAAAAGGCAAATGAACTGTACATTTACACATGCCTGGGAATCGTTTATGCTTCTAGTAGATTCCGTTTTTTCATAAGAGGTAAATTATGGCGCAGTGCCAATTACGCAATATCAACTTAGCTTCAGTTAAGATTATTATCGATCTTAATTGGTTCCAAGATGATTTTTTATAATAATTTGGGACTACGGTCCGGGATTGGTCCGGGACTTGTTCGGTCTCCCTTTTTATAATACAGTGAGTGGTAACCTAGGATGAGGCCTATACTTTCAAGACATGCTCATGACGCAGGAATGTGCAGGAAAAAATTTTTGCAAATGTAAGACAAGGATGTGAATTGAGCTCGAGGGATCTTCGTGCGTTGATCCGCATCGCGGTTAATGATCACGCTTAGTGCTTAGTGTAGATTATTAATGATGTATTACAATCCATTCGTTAGTTTATCTATCACGTGTTTTACAGCATCGTAAATCTCTTTTGTCAGATAGAGAGTTTGTTCAAAAGCAAGCGAAAATGATAATAGACAACAAAGTATTTGTTGCGGGTACCATAAATTCAAATAAAATATGGGATGATAGTAAAAAGGAACAAAAAACACAGGAAGGAGACCTAAACGAAAATGCGAACGAAAATGGAGCTACGGAAACGCGAGTTTACGGGTTTGTGCGCTTCAAATTTAAAAGAGGATTTCTTTATTTATTACTCATGTATTTATCTTTCATGAAGACGATTGCTAAGTATTATAAATGCGAACCGACCGCCACGCCATCGTGTCAAAGAAACGCATAATCGTCCAATTGCATTCGGTTGTTTTTGTTTTGCTCCGGCTAGCCTCAAGAGCGGGCCAAGTGATTTTCAATCAGGGTTCTTTGAGGGGCTCAGTATGTTGGAGGAAGCAATGCATGGGACTTTGATGATGGCAGTTGCCGATCAACGCGGTTCTGTAATTATTATTGATTTTGGGTCAAACAAGTGAGCGAAACTGGAATCGTCTTTGGTGGTCGCGTTTGAATTCGCAAATTTCAAGAACTAAACTTTACAGATTTTGGCAGATAACACGGATTGGCATAGCTGCTTCGGCTATTGCCTTCACACCCTTGATGAGAAATGAGCTAGTTATTTCCTTCACCGACAATTCGATAAGGTGTTACAATTCAGGTGAGAACATATATATTTTCTTTCGCATGTCTTTAGTTGACAAGGGGGATCAACTAATCGTTCTGTCATGCTTAGAATCGCGTCAATTAATAGCAGAGATGAGAGGTCACAAAAAGCCTGTAGACTTTATATCCATGCATCCCAAAAGGCACATAGCAATCACATGCTCGCCATCTGAAGCAATATTGTGGAATATGATTAGATGGTCTAAATTAAAAATATTAAGTCGTCTGAAAGAGGGTGTCGCTCTAAGAAGGGTGAGTGCGATATTCCTTACTTTCTTTTCAAATTAAAATAATTCATAAATTTAGTAAAAAAAAAAAAAAAATAGGCCGCGTTTTCTCCTCAGGGCGAACTTATAATTACGAGTTTTTACGATGAAACCATTTATTTCTGGAGTTGTTCCAGTTTCGATCTGCTCTGGAGGCTACAAACACCTGTGCTCATTCCCAATCAACTGCTGAGTTTCAGTAACGTATATGATGTCGCGACAAAAAATGAAAGGATGATTATTGTTGCTGGAAAGTGAGTGATCTTGTAGAACATAATCGTTTAATGTCTTCAATGAATAAATAAAATGATTTCTTTTTTTTTTCTCAAAGAAAGACTTTATATATATGGGATTATGATATTAAGGACCTGATATACGATATCAATCTTGACGCAATATTTGACGGTGAAATCGTTAAATTTGAACCCGTGCGTGATAACGCGGTAATGAACTCCGCTTCTCAGGGATAATGTTAATTGAGTTTGTGTGTGTTTTCATCCTAACATCTTTATTTTCTAGTATTTGTTGGTTCTTTCGTCAGATGGAACACTTATGATCGTCGATATATTTCAGAGCGAATTGTCAATACATATATTGAACGCGCAATATCCTGTGAATATTTGTTCCATTTCCATTAGTATAACTGAAAATGTGCCATACCATATCTCTCATTGCTTGATTATAGGTCAAGTTTTTTGAAGTTTCACCAGATGGAAAATTTCTTGCAACTAATGCGATGAAAGAAAGATCGGTGATAACTATATGGGATTTGGAAGCACTCATCTCGGACACCGTAAGTCTTGTTTTTGGATTATGCAGACCCATAGTAATTTAAGATATAATAATAAGATTTTCATTGATTAGTTGCAACAACGAAATTTGTCTGTCTCGCGAATTACGATGTCACAAAATGAACACTCTTTGGAAGAACGACGTTCGCCGGAAAATCTGGAGTGCGCGGGTGGATCAAATCCTTCATTTGTTTCCCACTTTTCTACGGGGCCCGAACCAGAAGGTAACCAGGGAACGGTTCTGGATTAAAAGAGGGAAATTGAATGTGTGATGTCTGTCAATGTGTCGTGTAAACCGTCGAAAACTTTCGAGAACGACAATGAAAGCGATCAAGATATGTTATTTTTACCACTTTTCGCAGAGTATTTACTAATATCCCGCTATCACATAAACCCTATGTTAATTATTCAGAAGTGACAGGATTAACTCATTGTTCATCAGTATCATCCATGAACTCTTTTGAGATAGAGGTACCCATATTTTCATATCCGCATGATTCTCACTTAACAACACTCAATACTATTTCCACGCGTTCTTTAATATAAGGGTTTCTCCACATCGTCAAGAAGAGAGAGGAGGAAGAAATTAGTACAAAAACTAAAAGAATTAGGAAATTATCCCGAGAATCACAGGTCGTCATTAAATATCTTGATTTTACTTTTAACTACAGATCTTTAATGGGTTTTTTTATTATCCAGGGTTCGCATATGGCGTGTTCTATTAGATCTTCCGCAGAATCAAAGGGCATTCAAAGGTTTAATGAAAGGGTTAAATCCCGCTGTCAAAATTGCGCTTTCCAAAAATCCAAACTTTGCCAGCTTGAGCAATTTAAAGATATCTATGAATCTTGAACAGTGAGAAATCATCTTTTGTTTACACCCATTTTTTTTAGCATTCAATTGGAATATTATTTCCTAAATTTACAAACAATTGCTACAAGATTTTTGTCGGCGTTGATTCGATGGGGATATGATGAGTCGGTCGTCGTTCGGTGGATGCCTTCCATGATATTTCCTTTCTTGGAGACATTGTCGGAGATCAAAGATAACTTTTCATTTGAAATAATTTTAAGCCTGTTATGTAAGTTATTGCGCCCTTAATGAAGGTGATACTGAGAAATTTACCTAAAGGAAGCCAATTGACTTTGTGTCATATGATTTTTTTTTTAGTGAATTGGTTTCAAAATTGTTGGGAAGAATTTCCGAATCCACCGAGTAGGATTCTCAATGTTGCAGCCACATTGCTGGAGCATTGGGATATGACTCTACATGCGCATTTTCTTGCACACGGCATTAAAATACAGGTATCTCGTTATTTTCTTAAGACCACCTTCCATCTTGTTTTCAATAGATCAACTTTTTTTCGGTAAATTCTGGTATATAAAGGATTGTTATTGGAAGATGATGCATTGGAGTTTGGCCAAGGTCTTAACAAGGGAGAATTGGATTCTAGTGTGGAATCATCTGTTTTCAAGTGACGAGCCCTCGTTGATGTACTACTTCATGCTGGCATTTATCATAAACCAGAGGGGTACCATTCTGAAGTTCTCAAGGAAAAAGGATCTTCTGGTATTTGAATTAGTTGATTGACTACTGGTTAGCGATATTCCCATCGATAATCCATTAATTCATCCAATTTCAAACAGGGATTTTTTGATTACATAAATTCCATAGACATCTTACACGTGCTTCGATTGACCTACAAATTAGAATCCGAAACACCATTATGGTTATCTCCGAGATTCGAGGTCGGCCGGTATAAGCCGTTAACTAAGACCGGACCATATCGACTCGATTACAGTTCGACTTTGACGCGTACAAATGATCAGAAGGATGAAATTCGAGATTGGATCTTGGAACAGGAACGAGAAATCGTTAAGAAAAGGTAGTTTATGTTTTGTCTATGTATACGCGTAAATGATTGAGAGAGCATTGCTAAAGATATCTTGATCTAATATCTCTTTTGACCTTGCAGAATAGGATAGTGTTCATGTGAACGATTGATTTTAAACTTCAAATTTCAAGTTCTCAATAATTAAGAAATAAATATGATTTTTTCATTTATTACCGGAAATAAGCTAATATTATTTTTACTAATTACAAAGGGAAAAAATTACATATCATTTACATTAACCATAAAAAATCTATGCGTGACCCATCTCTATCGCTCTATACATTTGTATTTCAACAAACATCGGATCGGAGTTGTGTGAAGCGGGAGTTAAATCCGGTGACTTCCCTCAGCGAGTGGAATTGACAACTGGAGAGCGTTTGCGCAGGCTTGCTCACCCACCAGGTGACACCCTCAGTGCATGGTGGGGTTGTCAGACTTCCAGAGTAAGTGTATGCCTAGTTATGTTTGTCTCACATTAGTTTACTTTGATCTTTCACTGCAAAAAGATTAAATAAAATACGGAGTAAGAAAAAACCTACCCCATCTAGAAAGTTAATATCTGACAGTACCGACGATAGTTTGATGAAGTCTATATCTTTGCTCTCCTTTTCTTTTAAGGGAAGCTATCGTTTGTTAAAAGAAGTATTAATTAAGAGAAGGGACTTTTTTTTAACCTCAAAGGTGATGAACAAGTGAACACCTACAGTTTCAATGATGGGCTTCAGGAATTTGTTCTCCTCCTTACCCACATTGTAGAACACGGCAACGACGGAAATCTTTGGATTCGCTTCTTTGGTCTTGAACACGAAGTGGGCTTCCACATCAGAATGCACGCCACCCACACGATGTTCAGAAGGAGTATGAAAGTGAAATTGAGCCAGTTCATATTTTCCACTTTTTAAAGTCAGATTTGCTGGCAAACCTCCTTCCTTCGATATCTCGACGGTATTACCGGTGTTTGTGGCCTCAACATTATGTGCATCGTGAAACTTGACTTTTAAGACTTTTTCCTTTTTATGGTCGGCACATTTTCCGGTGTTCGTGAATCCTTCTAACGAGATGTCGATAGGCGATTGATGTTTGCCAACACGACATATCTCGCTGGAACCAGGAAGGGTATCCCAAAACAAAGGTCCCGTGGGGCCAGAGTACGAAAAATCAACCGTGGTATTAGCCGAGATGACGACGGAGATGGTAAGAGAGAAAAGGAGTAGAAGCGCGAAAGATCTCATTTGTTTTGTATGTGAAAGAAGTCGATTCAATAAAAAAAGGTAAGAAATTTTGAACGATCCAAAAAAGAACAAGTAAATGAAGGAAAGTATCAAATACATTTTATATGTTTTTCTTGCAAGTCCCTAAATTGTGTTTCACGATTTTTCAATGATAAACACAATAAAGACGGCTGTGCCAATTCGAGGTTTTACTTGGAATTGCAGGCGATGCACTGCATACTTGGTTTTGCCATTGATATGCTCAATTTCAATTAAGTCTTCAAACGACGATATCCGGGGATCTTCACAAAGTGGAATTAACCTTTATATCCTAATGTGCCACCACAGCATAGCCTCGAGACCCTTTTTTCTGGGTAGATTTTTCTCTGACAATATGCAAGAAACAAGGATCGTTATGCAGGATTTAGACGCTGTGTTAGAACCCTACTCTCTTTATGTAAACGCCTTTCTAGAATTCTGTTTTTCCTTTGTAACAATCTCTATCTTGCGAATTAGCTTTTGTCGTTATGTGATAATTGGCCAGTTGAACATCCTTTACAACAGCCTAAAAAGTAATTCGGACTATTATTTGATATGCACAGTACTGAGTGCATCGCTTCAAACTTCTGTTAACCAAAACGGTCATGATATTCAATTAAAATTCATATTATCTAATATAATTCATTTCAAATGCTTTTCATTGCGTTTTTCTAAATGAACAATTATTCCCTTTTTTATGCAGTATAATAAGTATAATAGCGATCAGTTTCAGATGAAGATTGCAAAAATTGACATATCTTTTATTATCGCAACTGGTTCATTGTCTAAAATTACGTAATCCTGTAGAGGATGGGTGAATTAATATTATTGTTGTGGTTTTACCATTACTTTTTTATTCTAATGGCTTTCTGATGAAAACAGGAACAGCGACTGGAAGTTTCGTGTATGGCTCTCGGCTCATGAAGAAGATGGCGTTCGAGTTTTCGACCAGTTGAAAGTGGCGCTTAGTCAGTGAGATGCGTAAAAAAAAAACCAACAATAAAGATAATAAGATCAATTGATTGAATATTGATGAAATGAGTACATGTTCAAATTGATGCCATGTGAGGAAGAGGCAATATGTCTTTTTTTGAAAAATAAAGATTTTGGCATCACACCGCATTTTCATTATAACATCCGCTTTAATAATTCCCGATGAATAGAATAGAATTTTATTTTTAGCAACATTTACATTTTATTTTATATTTAGTTTGCATTGCATTTACGATAGTTCTTTTTTTAGAAACATGACTTTTTTAATCATAAGTGGAGTAACGTTAGGAGAAAAATTGGCATCGTCAAACAGCTTTGTCATGAGATATCTCACTGGTCAATTTTCGCAACAATTCTACTAACCCATGAGGAAAATTTAGTTTCGATATAGTCCCTCCTCGATGACAAATTCTGAAACTGGCTCTGGGCACATCTCATAAACAGCTCGCTTAATCTTTTCTTCGCGATCACCATCGCTGTTTCGGCATTGTTCGCCTATAAATTTCCTGATACTGGTGGAGGACATCTCTGCAATATCCTGACTTAATTGAATCCGAATCAATTTTCCTTTTCCCAAGAGCTCCGCGACAGTCTCACTCTTAAAAAAATCCTCAACTTCTTGTCCATATCCGTCACGATTTGCACATATTATATTACTTGTTTCAAAAAAAGCTTGAAGCTCTTTATGCATATCTAAATAATATTTGGGATTAAAAAAACGTATCACAGTATCAAACCCCATGATAAAATAGAATGAAACGTTTGACAAGTCGGAATTTTCCAAAATGTTTGATGAGTAAAAGAATGAAAGCAAAGCCCTTGCGTGATCCAAAAATCTTCCATGAGTATTCACACCTACAGCAATATTTTTAACTTCATTAGGATAAGTTGAAACAATGTGCTTAGCCAGCGCTTCCATCATAAGCAACCTATTTGTTACATCGTTCGAAGAAGAAGTAGGTTTGTCTGCATTGTTTACGGCAAAAAGTAAAAGACAAGCGTCAAAGAATGGTACATCTTTTGTTGACAAGACCCCCTGTAGGGTACCAGAATTAGCATCGATTACCGACTGTACAAGTAGTTGAAGGTGAGCTTTTGTGGGAGGGTTGAATGAAGAAGCTAGAATTGCGATTCTTGTGGGTGTCACTAAACTACCTCCGCTATACGATGAAGGCTCTAACTGATTTGTCTCTTTCCTTCGGTGAAGCCAAATTTTAGGATTTGAATATGTTAATTTGAACAAAGGTTTTGCTGGGTTAAGTTTGAATTCTTCCTGTAGGGTTGAAAGAGAATCTTCCAAAATTTTTCGGCGAGTCCTAAACGCGCACATCTCTGATCTAACGACAGAAATTAGAGTCAAGATTTGACTAGATGATAATCATCAAATGATTACTAAATTGGTTATTATATTCTGTTTTTTTTTAATACTGCACGCATATGCAGTACATTATTTTTAATTTGGAAAAAAAAGTAGAATTAGAATTGTGTTTTATAAAACCAATTGTCGCCGACGAACGCATGCCGATATCGGGGATCGAAACTCGCTTTACCCCCGATGTTTTATTCCGTAAGGAATGTGATCTCCGAAAATAATTAATGATAACCATTACATTAAACCTCGTTGATCTCGCTTAAACAATGTCTAATTCGACATGGAGATTTTTTTTATTTATTAAAGTCTCACGAGTGGTTGTTTGTAAAGATATAATTTTGATCTTAGTGAGTCATATGACTGCGAAATTTCTCTATGAAAAATTTGTTGCGATATTTTTTATTTTCCTATAATAAACCTATAATAAATGTAACATTTTGATAGAAGTCAATAAACTCAAGATTTTATTTTCCCGTTTTTTTTTTCCCTTTCGCTTTTTCATCTTTCTTTTTTCCCTTGCCACTAGTAGTTTCCTTTTTTCCCTTGTCACCAACAGTTTCCTTTTTTCCCTTGTCACCAACAGTTTCCTTTTTTCCCTTGTCACCAACAATTTCCTTTTTTCCCTTGTCACTAACAGTATCCCTTTTTCCCTTGTCACTAGCAGTTTCCTTTTTCCCCTTGTCATCCTTACAAACTTTCGTCACCTAAATTTGATAAAAATAACACCATTCAGATAACCACATATCTACACGAAGGTATCAACCCTTTATAACAAACTAGATAAAATTTACGCCCAATAAAGGTTATGGGAATTTGCGTTTTTTTCTCGAAATAAATTTTTCTACGCACATTGTAGATTTTTCCAAGAAGATTCAACCAAAGTAATGCCGAATCCTCAACTTCAGAGTCGGTACTAACATGAGATGATGCGTCGTCGATCTCTGAGGTTGTGGTGTTGCCACTGTTGCCACTATTGAGAATACTTCGCACGCGTTCCATTATAGCGTTGTATTCGGACGAACCTGTGAATTCTTCTGATCCCTGCGATCCCTGCATTTCGTAGAGATAGCTTTTATCCGGGATGTCTGCATATTCAATCTGTTTGGCCGAGTATGGAGGTAACTCTGGTTTTTCTTGAGTTTTTGAAAACTCATCGGCGACATGGTTTTTTCCTTTATTTGATGGAGATGACGGAACGGTTACAGCAAACGAAGGGGTAAAAAGAAAAACCAAAATTGTCAAGGTCGTCGCAAGTGTTATAATATTAACAGAGCGCATTTTTTAAAACCGATTTATTCGAGGAAATATCACGCAGAAGGTGGAATGAGGAAGAAAATAATTTAACGTTGTTTTATATTTCCTTAGAAATAGACTCACCATACATCAGTATTATATTAGTTCATAGCTAATTTACACTCATATGTTGGAACAAATTTTTTTACCTATTTGAATAATTTGATAAAATTTTTTTTGATAACATTTTTATCGTAGTCAAGTAGTTTGTCCATACTTAGAGTTATGCATACGCCGCGTGTCATCTCACCTAATGTTTGTATTTTCGATCATATATATAAACATTCTTTTTAATTTTATTATACTGTAAGTTAAAAGTGTTTATCAAAGTATCGTTAAAACATCTGTAGCTAATCCAAATAATAAAATATTGTGTCGTCGAATTAAAGTTATTATTAAAATTAATAATTTTTTAATTAATTAAAAATACAATATATTAAACAATTGTATATAATTTACATGAATTTATTAAACAAAAACAAATCTTGTAAAGCGAAA